AAAAAAAAAAAAAAAAAAAAAACTATAAAAGAGATCAGGCCAAATACCAGCTCCTGGCTAATGCCATCCATGGCTCACATACTCCAAATCCAGCTGCCTTAAGAGGCAAGCCACCTGAGAACTGCTTCAAATGCAGTCAACCAGGCCACTTGGCCTGGGCCTGTCGTAACCTGTCCTCACTGCAAATGGCCAGGTCACTGGGGAGTTGACTGTGCCACTCGCCAGAGAGGGAGTGGCCCAGTCCCTAACCCACAAGCTTTAACTCTGTGGCCATCCCTACCAGAGCTGCTGGGCTTTTCACAGGAGGAGGACTGACGATGCCCAGGGCCCAAAGTCCCCACAAAGATCACCACATGTGAGCCCAGGGTAACTCTCCTCATAGCAGATAAGCTGATCTCTTTTGTCATCGATAAGGGGGACATTTACTCTACCCTTCCTGAATATGTAGGACCAGCAACCCCATCCTCTATCACAATAGTAGGGGTCACAGGATCAGAATACCTCGCACAGATTGCTCAACCCCTTTCCTGCACCCTACATCACACCCAATTCACACACAAATTGTTAATAATGCCTCAATGCCCTGCCTTCTTACTGGGATGGGACATTCTTTCCAAATTCAAAGCTACTGTTACCCTAAACACTTTCTAACTCCAGCTACAACACTCCTGCTACAGGCCGCCCCAGACCTGGACCCTTAGGCTTCCACCTTTCCCTCCCCTTCGGACAAGGTTAATCCCTAGTACAGGACGGTGCTTCTCCCTGCATTGCTATGCATCATTCCCCTATCCTTGTTAAATTGTAGAACCCCTCTTTGTTCCCTAATGTCCCACAGTACCCCATCACTAACAAACACCTAATAGGCTTAAAATCTGTGGAACACAAACTCCTTTCTTCTCATCTCTCATTGCCTACCCACTCACCTTTCAATACATCCATCCTTCCAGTTAGATAGCCTAATGGCTTATACCATTTAGTACAGGACTGATCCTGACACATGCCATTCCCAACAACTCACCTGGACAGTACTGCCTTAGGGGTTTGGGATAGACCCCACTTTCTGGCCAGGCCTTAGCTCAAGACTTATCTGAACTTCCCCTAACCTCTAGCACTTTATTACAATATGTGGATGACCTCCTCCTTTGTAGCCTCTTCTATGAGGATTCACAGGCCCACACTGTTGCTCTCCTTACTTTCCTGCGGGCTTCCAGGGGATATCGAGTGTCCCCAGCAAGGCCCAAATTTCTTCTCCTTCGGTCACCTACTTGGGAGTCCACCTCACCCCCAACACCAGAGAAATAATGGTGGATCACAAAAGTCTAGTTTCTGAACTCCCTACTCCTACCACAAAGAATGACATTCTCTCTTTCCTGGGGCTTGCAGGATATCTCCACATGTGAATCCCCTAACTTTGGCGTGCTAGCAAAACCACCTTATGAGGCAGACAAAGGGGATCCTGCCATTCCTTTAGATCCCACAAAGCTCATTCATTCTCCCTTCCAGCGATTAAAGGCCGCTCTCCTTGCAGCCCCAGCTGTATCTCTCTCAAAACCTATCTCATCCTTTTATCCTATACATCACCAAAACTCAAGGATTAGCAGTCGGGATTTTGGGACAAAAGGCAGGAGATATTTTCTCCCTGGTTACATACCTCTCAAAACAATTAGACACCACAGCTCAAGAATGAGACCCCTGCTTACGGGCCTTGGTGGCAGCTGCCCTTTTAACACAAGAAAGCTCGAAACTAACTTAGCAAACAGTCAAGACCTTCTCAGCCATAAGGGGAGCACTGTAGCAGTGCGCCACCAGGCCGGCCCTACACCTCCAACATTTGAGGAGCACAAAGGAAGGACAACTGGTATACTCTCTCCAGTCACTATGTTCTCCTTACCACACAAGCTGAGCAAATCCTTTTAGATTTTCAAAATTAACCCCTATTACGTCTTCTTCAGCCCTTATATTACTCTTCCCACATGGCCAAGTTACTAAAACAAATCACTCAAAACTGTCCTTTGTGTACTTGTTGCTCCAATCATGGTGGCCTCCAAATTCAGTGCTTTCTTACCCACCAGGCCAGAGGATACACTCCTGACCAGTATTGGCAAATTGACTTTACTCACATGCCTCCCCACAAAAGGACACGCTATCTTCTAACCTTAGTAGATACCTTTTCAGTTTGGGTTAAGGCTTTTCTCTGCATTTCAGAGGATGCCACGGCAGTAACGCATGCTCCCACCTCAGAAATCATCCCTCGTTTTGGCCTCCCCACCAGTTACCCACTAACCTACGAACTGTCCCCTGTAAGCTTAAAGGCCTCAGCCCCCTCAAACTTATGTACAGTAGACCCTTCACCCTCACACCTCTCCCTTCCAGCTCATCACCTTTAGGCCAGTATCTCCCTGCTCTTTCACTCATTAGGGATCTTCTTAGGAAACAGGCCAACCTTCTACTACCTCATCCTTTCCCCACCACCCCCTTCAGACTTTAAACTGAGCCAGGGACAGCAAGTGTACATTGAGACCTGAATCCCAAAGCCTCTCACCATGCTGGGAAGGGCCTTATACAGTACTAATCGCCACCCCCACAGCTGTAAAGTACTAAGAAAGGCCAATTGGTATCACTTATCCTTGGTAAAACTAGCACCTGAGAATTTACCCAAAGAATCTGTTGACACCAAACCAGAGGGGTCCTCCTGCTCAACCCCCAACCCAACATCTCCTCACACTTTGTCCATTTTAGAACCCACAAAACTGAAAATCTCCAGGACCTCCGCTCTTCCCCCAATCCCATGAGAGGGATGATCTTTACCCCGGTGATTAACCTCTCACCCCTGCAGGCCCACTCCACGTCCTTCACACAGGAGCTGCTCCAAGACTGGTCCCACCTGCTATCGCTGGTTTGCCATCGTGGGACGTAAGTATATGCCACCCCATGTCCCTAACGTTTATTATACTATCTGTTCTAGTACTTACTACAGGATTGGCCAGTGCTGCCCTGAAAGGAGTGTAACATTATAGGAAGATTTCTCCTAGCCTCCTTTACCTCCTATCAGTAGGATGCTCCTTAGCAAGTTCTTTGTGACAATGTCCCCTTTAAATTCTTTTGGATCCCTAACCCTTCGCATCTTTCCTGTGTTTTTCCTCCTATCTCAATGCGCCCCCTTACCTGGAACATGGAGGTTCCAGGTCTGCAGGGACGATGCAGTCCTCAGTGAATCAGACTGGTCCCCAAGTGACTCATCTGTCTCCCACTTTGTGAGAATCTTTTTGTGGTCACCCCCCCCCAGTCAATGCAGCCTGCAATGTTTCCACAAAGGTCTCTGCACTTTTCTCTAATGTCACCTCAGTGGGGACTGTCAGCGTTGTGCGGGGACTGCCCACACTCTGCCTCACTAACACCAAACGCTGCCACTCACTCACCCCCTCCTCATCCATGCCCTAAAACTGGAATGTATTTCCTTTGTAAAGCTACAGTTATCCTGTTTCCTGCCCCCCTAACGTGATTTCTTGCATATTCTTTTGGCTCATCCCCGACATCACCCTCCAGACAGATGGAGAGATGGAGACAGGACTGGGACTAACTTCAGCACCTCTGTCAGGAAGTGCCCCCGCTCCCGAAGGGCACTAGTTGTACCTTTTAATTGGGGCAGGGACCCTTCCTGCAACTGGGACTGGCACAGCGGGCCCTGCTACTGCCTCTCAATTCTATCAAAAACTCTCAGAAGAACTAAATATAGACAGCACCTCCTCCCTCCAGCGACAGGTCACCTCACTCGTGACAGTCAACAGTCGCTTTACAGAACCGTCGGGCCCTTGGCTTCCTTACAGCTGAGAAGGAAGGCCCCTGCCTCTTCCCGGGGGAGGAATGCTGTTATTACATAGACGAGTCTGGGGTGATCTAAAACAACTTAAACCATTTCACTGAACCCTTGGATACCCTGGCTTATACCCCTACAGACCCCTAACTGTGCTGGGACTCAGCCTACTTTTTGGTCCCTGTCTCTTTTGGTGTTTCT